GAACAAACCCAGTAGGCTAAGTGGTGCAGTCAGGAAACGACTTGTCGCTTCTTCAGCAGAACATCTTGCCAATCTGCCTTTCACCAAATTATTTTGCAGCAGAAACTGAATATGCATTGCACCCTAAAACGTGGTGAGAAAACCTTCATAACTGAATCTTATATCATCAGGTATATCTGATGTAAATATGCTCTCATGTGGAAGGTTCACTATGGCCTTCAAGTTGAGAATTTCGCACCTTGAACATCCGATAATTTCAATCTGGACCAATCAACAGGAACCTCTTCAGTATTATATTATTGGTGCTTTAGATAATATTTCAGGTGATCCACAGGTTCGATTAAAGAGCTATACACTTAAGCCTGCATGACCTCTTGATACCTTGGATGATCAGGAGAGTGTTTTTAGGCTGGAAAGTCCAGCGTTCTCTTGAAATGCTCCACTGATAACCATTGGGTCCACACTAGATCAAGGAAAATGTACAATGGTCAGTGAACCTTGGAAGAGATTATTCTTCTCGAAAAAGAGCACGTACTAGGTGTAACCCCCACCGCGGACCCGTTCAATATTTGAAAGAGTCCAACTCTAGCCAGCTGGCCTGAAAGATCATTCCCCAATTGAAGTTATCGGCTTTTTTAGGAAGCTGGTTTCATTTGTTCAAGTTTGAATATATTTGAGCCACAATGAACCTTCGGGAGTGGCGGTGAGTGTTTGAATAGACCCTTTATGCACTGCAATGTCGAAAAATTACATAGTAGCTTTCTTCCGCCTTAAAATTTCGTATATAGTGATTTTGGGAAAAATAGAATGAAAACTTTTCATTTTGCTTTTGCTTTTGAAATATTTTCACTTCTCAACGACCAATTTCTCTATTTTTATGTTCTATTAGTTTCCTAATTAATATTTTAATGACATCGAATCATACAAAAAACAGAAATTGCAGCAATTATTTCTACAATCACTCAAGTGCTTCGATAATTTTTTCTTGCCATTTTCATAACTTTTTCTTGCTCGGAGAAATCTACAGCGTTTTTATGAGATGCATGTCAATGCCGACACGCGAGAAAATATTTGGTGGCACGTATCTTCAGAGATAAAAAAAATTATAGTATTATATTACAGTTAGTAGGTATTTTATATAGTATATATTAAAGTAATTATATTGAAGTATTCGTCTCTCATAACGGCCAAAGTTGGTCTACAATGATGATATCAAAAATATTATTGATAATTATTATTTCAATTCTGTTACATAATTATAATGAACTCATTAATTCAAACAATTGAAAATAAAACTTTTCCGTCTACAATGTTTCTTTCATATCTACCTTCGTTTCCGAAAAAAAATCTATGGAAAACATGCACACCAAAATAAAAAATGAAAAATTTTGTCTTCGAAGTAAATGAACAAAATGTCCACCATCTTATAATATACACCACTGCAAATGATTTGTCATTGATTGTCTGACATTGCATTTTGTACATTATTCAATACTTCAAGTTGATGCATGACAGCCGGTAAATAAAAATCTAGAGGAATCATACCAGAGCTGCGAGCTGGCCAATTTTGAAATCCTATATGTCCCAGCAGCGATCAGAAAAGTGATTTCGAAATGCTGACGAGCAAGAACACTGGAATAAGCTGGAGCTCCGTCGTGTATGAACCACATGTACAAGTGCGGGTGCTCTCGATGATATGGATGTCCGGTCTCACAAAAAGTGTATTTTAGATTCATCCGTTCAACTTGCTGGTAGAAAAATCTGCCAATTAGATAGTCACCAATGATTTTTTTCCAAACGTTCAGTGAAAATTGTTGGTGAAATTGATTTTCTGTCATAACGGTGAGGATTTAATTGGCCCAAAAATAGTCATTGTAGAAGATGATCGTGAGAAAAATCAATAGCTTTGGCTGAAAATCCGAAGGCAGGAGAGGGTAGACCCGCTGTTTGTGATATAGGTATTAGAGATTACTTTTTATAACTTTCCGAATGATTTTTGGGCTGATATCAAGTTGCAGAATAATCTTCCTGCTGTTGAAGAATTTTCTTCTATAGCAATAATTTTAGTTCAGACCTCATTACAATTTCTGATTTTCCAACACCGGCATTTTCAACCAAATTCCCAGTTTCACATAATCTTGCATGTATTGTTTCAAATGTAGCACTTGCAATAACTCTTTGAAGATATGTGTCCTGGTAAATTATCAGTGCTTCATTTGCATTTCCATTTGCTAATACATCAATGAAGTGCTTGTCAGCCATTTCAGTGTTAGTGGAGTTTTTCATGATGAAATCACTGCTAATTGTCAACTCTGATTTCACTGGCATGCTCTTTGCTGGTCTGCAAAGCAATTGAGTAATTACTTGTTTTGCAATAATTTTTCATGAAGAGTAGATGAATGTTCCGATAGCAAAACTATTGAAATCAGTGGCGTTACAGATTTTAACCCAGTTGCTTTCCAACACTTCCCTGAACTGAATAAATAAAATTTACTTATTGATTCGAAATAAAAAAACAATGAAGTGGGTACCAAGTTTGAGACAAGAGGGCGAAAAGTGTTTTCCTTATCAATGAAAAATCAAATTTTTTCATGTTTATATGCCATAGAGTGACTTCAAAATTTTTCCTCGAAACTGAGGCGAGACATAATGAAAATATAGTTGAACAGAAAATTGTATTTTCAGCTGTTATATCCGAAAACGTAAAAAATTACGGATAACAAAGCAGTGGTCTACTTTTTTCCTCTATATTATTGACTGTGGTGCTCACTGAGACGCCAAGGTTGAAGAAAACAAAATCTGGGCTGGTAGGCCATGATTGAATGGAGCCTGTAGTACCAAACGTTTCGTTTGCTACTGCGACAGACATCATCAGTGGTACATTTTTTATTTATTTATTTATTTGAAAATAGGAAATCCTAATATAAATACAAGTCCGAAAAGTGAAAATGATATATAAAAAATATCGAAATAACATAAAAATTCTTCTAACAATAAAATACATTCAAATAATATATAAATACAAGAAGCTAAAATGCTTAAAATAGATATGTGTTCCTGAGAATGTTGTCTCATAACACAGAATAAATCAGGAGTATTCAGAATAGTTAGTTCCATATTACATTTATACTAGGGCATAAAAACAATAATTCGAGTGGGTAGGTAATGAAATATTTAATATATCACAATTTAACACGATGTAACACAGTGTATACAGAACACATAAAAGCTCGAACCAATAAAACAATTCGATGATGTGAAACATAAAAGTTAAAAAAAATCAGAAAATTCATAGAATACGTGATGTAATATATATTTTCAACTGAGCCTTGAATGAATATAAAGTAACAGAATCTTCAATGTGGTATGGTAATTGGTTGAAATCATTCAATCCTCTGAAAAACAACGATTGTACAGATTGCTTTATTCTTGTCCTGGAAATGTGGAATTGATTGGTGGTTCTTGTGTTGTAGACATTCTACGTAATGAAGGAATCAAAATATTTTGGTAATAAATTTCTGGTTATTTTATAAATAAATATCATACTTGAGTAAAACAGTCTATCTGCCACATCATACCACTTGTGGACACTCAGCATGCATTGAATGGGAGTACATAATAATAATAATAATAATGTTCATTTCATAAGATTGAATACATTTACATATAAACAAAAAAAATATGCAGGAATAAACATGGCAAGCCACTGAAGCTCATAGAGCTTGTGTATGACAAAAAAAATGAAGAAATTAAAAGGAAATAATAAATTAAGTTGACACGTTTTGTGTGTGATGTCAATTGAAAGGGAAAAATAAATAAAGATATCATGAACATGAATCAGTGAACAAACATTACAAACTAAACTATCGGTCATAACATTCATCATTCATACACCATATACGAATATCAAATGAAAGTCATCTATCTTATATTTCATTCACTGTTCTGTTCTTAATATGTTCATTGTTCACTACACTTCTGTAGAGTCGCTGTCTATTCTATAAGGTAAGTCCTATTACTTCTATTACATTTTTAGATGATACTCAAACCTCGATTTTGCAGTTTCTGTAACTTTGGTATATTGTTTTTACTTATGATGCACTGTTTGGAACCTTTGGTGTAGTAGTGAATAGTACTGGAGTTTTTTCCCAACACCAAATCGTTATTTTTAACACCTCGACACGTGTTTCGATCACCAAGTTATCATCTTGAAAGAGGAAGATTGAAAATTTTTTAATCTTTCTCTTTGCAGATGATCACTTGGTGATCGAAACACGTGTCGAAGTGTTAAAAATAACGATTTGGTGTTGGGAAAAAACTCCAGTGATATTCATTATATTGTTTTTATCTAAAAGATAAAGCAGAGTGGAACAATAATCAAAATGGGGCTGTATAATGGTTCTGTATATTGTTATTTTCGAAAACATGGAAACTTCCAATGAAATTTTTTGATATCTTTTTACAAATATAGTCATAGTGTGCATTGAGTGTTAGTGATTCATCCAACACGAAGCCTAAATACTTGAATTCTGACAACCATTCAATTTTGTCTCCCTCTACTTCGAGTTGAAGCTTTTCATAGTCAATTGATTTCAGTTAATGTTTCTTACTAATTATCATTGATTTGGTTTTATTCGTATTGATTTTCCGTTCATTTTCATTTAAATATATTTCAATTTTTTTCAACAATGTGTCATGCGTTAACTATGAGGACAAAGATTATATTTTGAAGTTCCAGAGATTTAGTTATTGTTGAGACTTGGGGAGATGAACTTCGCCCTCGCAGTCAACGCATATATCACTGATGGTGTCTGTCGTAGGAATAAACGAACGTTTGGTTTCATTAGATCAAGGCCTACCTTCCCTGACATTCTCTTTAATAATATGTATGCAAATTTATTGATATAAAAATATTAAAATGAGTTCATTATATTGACGATTATGGAAATGTCTATAAAAAAGTAGTTAGTGGATGTAATGATTATCAGTAGTAAATAGAAACCAGCAAATAAATAATCGGGAACTCAAACATAGCCCAATCGCAAGTTACTTGTGAATTGTGTATAGCAAAAGTGATATGTATAGTTTCATTTTATTCTAATACAAAAGGTATGTAGGGTTTGAATAGGATTCTTATCTGCATCAGTTGAATTTGAGAATCAGAACACTGAAGCAACAGTTGGTAATAATCAATTTTATTGATCATTTCCTAAATTATTTAGACTTTGATTCATATTGTACTCATCAATTAGCTGTTTAGTTGAAACTGTTAGTTGAAGAGCTGAAACAGTCAAAGACGTCGATGAATGCTCATCGTTTTGAGGTTCAACTCAGTATACCTCGAACATCATTGTTCAAGAACTCTCTTGCCGAGAACGTTTTCCGAATAGATTCAATTTCCAGCGATTCAAATTCAATGTAAATTACTACTTTTGCACAGGCACCGCTCTCGGAGCGCCTAGGGGATTTTCCTGTTGTGCTTGTGTTTTTTTTTAATCGAAATAATGTCTTTTCAAAATTATATCATCAGCAATGTTAATATGTCCCTCACTCTCATTTAAAACAATCAATCTCAAGTTCAGAATTGAATTTTCCAGACGATTAGTATTGTTCGTTTCTGAATTTGCATTACACAACTGAAATATTTTTTCCAGTCTTTCGATTGAAAACCTGGCCTTCAAAAGGGTCCAAATTGAACCCTGCTAAAGTTTTTTGCCCGCTCCACTATCAAAACTCCAAAACACAACACAACAAAGTTTTTGTTTCGGGGTTGAAATTAGATGATTTTAATGTATTTCCACGTGTTAAAACCAAAAGTGACCATAAAAATTATATATTAGCTCTTGTTTTCAAGATATAGTATCATTATATTATATATATGTATATTGAGTTTTCAACAAATGAAATATTTCATCACCAACAGTTGGTACACATGTTTGTTTACATAACACCCCTCTCATCAGCTGTTCTTAAGTAGTAAACATAACCTATGTGAGTTTGTCAATTGTACGCACGTGGTTGCTATTGAAATTATCGTGTGAAGTTGATTTTTAAATTAATTTAAGTGCTGATCTGAAATGCCTCGAAAGTGTGTGAATTCTGTCGATAGCTTT